AGGCCATACTATATCTGTCATTCTGTTTTGACACTTAAATGTGGTGGCTTAAGCTTAAAAATTTTGACAAATCCAGTGTTCGCTATTATTGCTTAAAACCCACTTTGTTGCTAAGTTTTGTCTGCGATTACAAATATTATGTTGATATTCGACTTATATATTTCTAAACGTCAAATGTTAATTTTTAATGTTAATTTATTTTGCAAACTTAACTCATTTTCGGTTTGTAGTTTAGGTTTTCGATTTTTCGATACGGTAGCACAAAATGCAGATTAATAGTATTAGTTTGGTATGGCCATTTATAATAAAATGTGTCTAGTGACTACAGCAAAAGGCAATGAGCCGGGTTATTTTATATAAGTTCATAAGGAGATAAAAATCGAATTTAAGCTCACAACGTGTTAAAAATGAAGGACGATATACTCACATTTTGGTAATAAAGGCTAAAAGAAGACACCAAAAGATGTATTTGTTTAAAGTGGAAGTATTGAAGGGATAAGCATGGTAGAAATAATTCCAAGGTATCGAAATACTCTTTTTTCTGGATACAGAAATTGACAATGTATAAATTAACTAGTCAATATGCACACATCTAGAAAAAATCCATATAGTGTTCATTTCTGTTTTGGGTCAAATGCGTCATGGCTCGCAAATTCAAAAGCGCACTTACTGTTAAGAGGCATAGTGGATAGTCAACGCATGGCCACAAGTTTTGAATAACCATTCAAATCCATATTGCGCAGTTGAAAATGCATCAAATGAATTACTTTTGCTATAATAATAGTGCAAATCCATCCTTAACAATTTGCTGCTAAACGTAATTTACGAAAATTTAAAAAAATTGTAATTAATAATCAAAAGGATTCAATTTTGTTATTTTTAGTAGGATGTAAACTGACTATTGTTAATACAAACATTCAGTCTTCGCTTTGGAGTATAAGGAAAAATTGAGTGTCATTATAAGATTTATAAATGTTTCATCATGAACTTTACAATGACACTCAAATTAATCTGCTTGATTGGCTATAATCCCAGCGTCCTATATACAATCATATTTTAACAACAAATGTTATTTATTCGATAAAAATCAATTTTGAAAAAGTTTTCTAATTTATAATTTAATTGGTAATCCAAGATGAATTCTTCGAAAAAAACTAACGAAAAAATTAAGGAATATAATATGGATCATTAATACAATCTAACATAACACCACAAAGTTGAAAACTGCAATTTAATTTACAACATGATCAACACGTACTGTTGAGTTGGCAATATAATTAACTTTTGAGAAAATTGTCTTGCGGTGCTATTGCCAAACGTGATTAAAATCCTTGATGCCATGTCGCTTTTAAACGCTCAAGAAAGTTTGGTTTATCCATTTTAATACTAATCAGTAACAAATTTTGACGTAAATTAAATATCACTGTCAACCATGTAGGTTTTAACAACAAGAAGTAAGGTGGAGTGACATGTCTGCCAATTTCAAGCAAAATTCATTGATACCACCAACTGAAACATTACTTGTTGATGACTCTGATGTTCACGATTGTTTTAAATATGCAGTAGGCTAAGATATTTTTTTGGTAGTTAGCGTCGGTGCGGTCATATAACGTTCTTTTTTTAAATAATTTCTGTCAGTTCTGTTATTAATTTAGATTATTTATTTTATTCCTGGCATTTTATCCTGTGGTTTCGGCCGACAAGAAAGCCTGCATCAATAAAAGCTCTGGTGAATACAAAACTCTAGTGATGTAAAACATTTTCGAAAGGTTGTCACGTATTTAAAAAAAAAAATTTTTTTATTATTTTTTTAAATATTCAGAAGTGATAAATAACTTAATGTTTTATTGCAAGTCGGTAAAAATTCAATAACTGATACCTTCAAACAAGACTTTGAGCACCTAGAATTTTTTCTTTTACAATAAAGACTTAAAACTGATAAATTTTTAAATCAGGTGGTTCGGAAATACCTTCAGTCTTTCATTTGGCAGTACTATTTGCATAATCTATATTTTACTTTAGATATAATATTAACACTCGCAAGAGAAAAGTTGGAATTTGAGGAACTATTTTCTACATAATTTTAAAATCCATAAGTTAGATATTGCTTGTTAATGACGAAAAGTTCTATGTGAATAAAAACATGTTATGGCATCGAGAATCTTTTCTCTTTGAGAATACTTCTTTAATATCAAAAATTTAACGAAAACATATTATTTGTATGTATCGTGATAAAATGTGGACATCCCAAAATGATAGCATAATCATTTAATTCCCAGTTTAGCAAGGCAATCATATAAGTGTGTTGTAATAATGGACAGTGAACCATATCACTCAATGAATGCAATTGGAAAAACTGCCCACACGTCTTCTACCATGGAAAAATGGAAATAGAATAGTTCACTAAACACCATATACAATTAAATCAAAACAGTCAAAAAGTTATTATACATAAAATTTTAAATTACAAGAGCCATGAAGTTCTTAGATTACGCCCATATCATTGCCAATACAACCTTTCGAGTAGAAATAAAGTTGACCATTTATGATCGAAAACACTTTTGAATCGTACACTCGAAATGTGGGAGAATTACTCGTATTGTTTATTGTAAACACTGCAAACAAATGATTAGTTACTTCAAACTGGAAAAAACATGTGAGTAATTTTTCTGTTGCTGATATTTCTGTATTCATTATTTTATCGGGAGATTCTTATTCAGAATCAGATTTTGATGAGTCAGATTCAGAACTGCGTTATAAATAGGTATACATATATTTTACATTTCAATTAAAATTCGTAGTTTTATGTGGAGGTATTGAAACTAAATAGTGTGTTTGTCCAATCATTTGATAAATGTAGCAAACTGACAGCAAGGCTCAGCTGTTATCAATTATAACCTAAAATAGATTTGTGATGACAAATCACAATACTGTCAAGTAAAATGTCACATTTTTATAGATTGCAATAAAATATATACTTTAGACTGCACGAATTTGAAAGAATCGTGAACTGTTAATACTGACTAATTATTATTTAAACTGGCACACAAAGTAAAAATTAATAATATTAAAAATAATTTCATTTACGTGACATATTGTTGTAACTTTTGTATTTTTTTAGTCTTAAATATAATAAAGCTTTAAGTCGCAGAAGTGTTATGCACTAATTCTTAAGGTAACTTGGATACAATATTTAATTTACCCTGTTTGTCCAATTTCTGTAAATCCAAAATTTAAACGAAGTAAAAGCCTTAATATTTGACGATTAGTAAATGTTGTTACAGTTATAAAATCTTTGAATTTGGAAAGTTACTAGGCAAATATAGTGGAAAAACATTTGTCTTATTCTATTCTCCAAAAACAACATACAGATGATGAAATTGGATATATATATTATATATATATGTATATTTATTTATTTATTATTATCATAAAACCGATATTATTAAAAAAAACAATTAAAGCACAATGTCTAACATTTTCATCGTAATACAGGAAAAGGAAAAAGCTTGAGAGACACGATATAAGAAATTACAGATCTCTGCTACAAATGTTATATGCATATTATTTTTTTACAAGGATTTTGTCTAGAAGTAAGATCTTCTGATTCAAGTTTAAGTTTTAATATTGTGTTACTTTAATTTATGTCTTCATAAGTTTTTGAGGTAATTTTACTTAAACATATACCAGCAAAATTTTAAAATTACATTCAGATACACCCTTAAAAGTAGAAGTTTCATAATAAATTTAGAAGGCATTACTGAAGTACTTATTGTTAAAAGTTTGATGGCATCTATTGTATCAAAGAAACCACATACCTATTTGTTTTTTGTGCTTTAATTGATGATATTGACAAATTAACGTGATATATTGAATAAAATATGATCATCACACATTATTTATATTATTTCGCCTATACGCGAGTGAACTGATTAAATTATGGCTTATGGTTTACATGGCTTATATGATAAATTTATAAAGCAATACGTTTAGAGAGTAAAATTTTTGTTTATGTGTATAACAGCTATTACTGTTTAAAAATCTTTAAAAACCTCTAAATGTTGGCATGAACTATCACAGAATATTCTAACCATAAAAATGAAACTAGCACAAAAATATTGTGAATATGGATTCCTTTTTAGTTGAGATCTTAAGTTCCTATTTTCAGTTTTCTTCCAGATAATGGAAGCTGCAACATCATCAAACATGGCACTAAATTGTTCAAAGTTTGCTAAGTACTCAATTAAATTTTCGCCTTGTATGTATTCATAACAGAGAAAAATTTGTTTTTGCAAGATATACCACGGGGCAAAATTTGTTGTCCCACGTTAAAACAAAACAGCCGTGTGGATTTAATATGTCTACTGACTTTACTGATGTAGGGAAAATAATCTCTAAACCTAGAATCAAAACTAAATTTTCGAAATTTAAATGAAAATGTTTTTTTCTTCATTTATTTCTGTGAACAATTCTTGCTAGCGATTACGTCATTAACAAAAAAACTGCCAACAGTACAAAATTTAGAACATAAAGGTGTAGTACAAACAAAACGAGGCTGCTTCGTGGGATATTTGATGTGTTACAAAAAATATTCAGTAGTATATACTTAATTTCGTCATCAATTTTTCACAGTATGTTGAGTTGTTATTTAGTAATTAACCATATCTGATATTATTAAATCTAGCTTCAGAATATTGTATTTGCATATATATACAAAACTTAAACCATACAATTTTGTAAAATAGTACAAATATTGTGATATAATAACTTTAAAAAATAGTCATAAAATAGTTCCGTACCTTAAGAATATATATCAAATCACATATCGTTTTAACTGGCCTTAAATGAATTAACTAACGTTTAAATAAACATCAAATATGTATATATCCTCTCATATAGTTGATGTCAAAAATACATAGCTCTTTCTATTCTCTCATTATGTAAATAATATACAAATTTAATATAAAATTTACACCTTTATATTAAATAGGTACGTATTATTCCAGTAAGGCACATGTCAAATTATATTGACTACAGTAGCCAGCGAAAGTAAAAAAATTTGAGCATTATTGTACAGTGATGCAATTTAAAGGAACAATTATACAACTACAAATGATAATACGAGTACAACAAGAAACAAAAATCACAACCTCATTGATTGAAATTTCAGTTAGTCACATCAGTGGCCGGTCTGTCTAAAGTCAAGTCTAAAGGCACAGGTTTTAAAGGTTCATCAACGCCAACATCTATACAAAGTTCTTGATCACTCTCAGAAGATGGTATCGTCGTCACTAACTCTGGTGTTTTCAATGATAAATCAATGGGTTCTACCTGATCCGGTGCAGAAGATACAGTTGTGAAAGGTCCTCTAGTCCACAGATCTTTCCACGATGAAGGATCTGTAAATCCATGAAGTGGGGGTAACCATTTAGAAAAACCCCCGCTAGGAGAAATAGAGGGAAGTGACGCCGGAGAAACTGAGGGAGCGTTAACTAAAGCACTAATAAATTTCCGTCTGTCAAAACACTCGCTATCACTGGCCGGTGACGGTAGTTTTTTCATTGTATAATAATCACGATCATTGGTAGGTTTCAAATAACTAAATGCACTAGATGAACGAACTTCTTCTTCTATATCAGCCGACGAAGCACCACTATCGGATTCTGAACTCTTAGTCTCTCTGGAAGCGGTTCTTGGGACGGAATTTTGAAACAATGGTGTAAGGTAAGGATGTGGACGAAGTAGGTTAGCCGCCGCCGCTATATTGACACCAGCCTGTTGTTGTTCTTGAAGGAGGCAGTGGATTTTGAACCAGTTCGATCGACGACCATAACGAGACCCGCTTTTGGACATACCTACTAAAAGACATTTTCGCAGACGACAGGCTTTGCATGCAGTTCGATTTTTTTTGTTGATCACACATTCTCCGTTGTTTTTGCACTCTGATATTGAGCTGATGTTGTTGTACGTTCTTCCAAAAAAGGACTGAAATAGAGATATTAATGATTAGTCTTGATGTTAGGGTAAACAAAACAAATATTTTTAAAGTTAAAAAACAACCGGCCTAAACGTAAAGAAATCTTTAGTCAAAAAAGTTTAATCACTATATCAACTCTCTAAAGTCACTGCTATGTGGACATGTATCACCTACGTTAGAATAAAAACAACGAAGTAGAAACTTGATGACAACCTAAGTGGCTATTTTTAAAAATTATAACTTGCATTGTTTCTTTTGAGAAAAATTTCCGATAATATTTTTGAACTGCACCATCATTGTTTTGCGTTTTAAAAAAGGGAACCACAAAGCTTATAGTAATGTCAAATCAGCAAGATGAAACAAAAATTAAATAATGTTTAATTTAAATTGTTAGGATGGCGTAATATTTTGATTAGTGTTATTACTTATTATAGATTATCAAAATTTCTTTAAACTTCAACAAAGAAATGGTGGAGCTATACAACCAACGTTGTTATGAAAAAATTGATCCAGTTGTTGGCAAGAAGACTTTAATACACCCTAACATTGGTCACACGTCAAAAAGCGAAAGAATTTCTATGGATGTTGAATTAATACAACCAACAAAATCTTATTTCAATCATACATATTATAGGATACATATCCTCCGTTCAAGTTTTATTGGAAGGAATATATAGGTTATTAACAAGAAGTTCCAAGCCTAAAAGATTCAAAACGCAACCAACAATACAACTGCAAACAGTCTTTGATATTTTTACTATTATATTATGTTTTAAATAAAACATAGTTATTTATTTGGTTTTAATCATTTGGAAATAAACGTCAATTTTTAGGTTGAAAGCAAAAACAGATTCAAAACAAACCCTCGTCAAAACCCAAAACAATTGCCGATTTTTTTCTGTACTCACCATATATCAAAATCAGATCAGTTTTTCCGTTGTTTGAATACGTTTCGCATCAATCCTGCCGAAACATCAATTTTAGCACAGTCGCATCTGGCATTGCGTTAATGTTATTGCAACAAAACAAATAACTGCTTTACTTCTTTAAAAAATGGTATGAAATACAAAGATGGTTTTACAATTTTATTTCTGTTGTCTTGAATTTTTTGGCACGCAGCTTCTCGTGAATAGTCCTGAATTTCAGTTCTAATAATATGAACTTTTATGCATACATCCTATTCAGATTTACTTCTCGAGTGAATGCTAACAAAAAAATTGTAACACAATCATTATTTAATGTCTGCTAGGCGTTTCAGAACTCACGAATAATAATATCTCGTATTACTTTGTTTAGCTACCGGGTGGCTACTAATGATTCAAGCAAATTTTTATGTTCGCAATTCTGAATTGTTGGTATCCACGCTAGTACATCAGTTCACAGTTGTCAATTTTGACACGAGCAGGCCTAACAAATGTGTTGATTGGTTGAGACGATGGCAGTTATCATAAATGTCACTTTGACAGTCAGGTGTGTCATCATAAAATTTTAAACAAGTTACCAACCTGACAAAAAAGTCACAAATATTAATTAGTCACTCTGCATCTGTCAATGATAGTTGGCTAAATAATCTTTAAATTTACGAACCAGTTATTTATAAATTTCAAATGTACCCTAGAAAAATCGTGAAGATTATTTGACACCAACCAAACTTTATATAAGTGTTCATCTATACTGAGTAATGATTATGCTTCAGAAGCGAGGAATATAAATTAATTTATAGGGCCTTTATTATCGTGTCATACGCACATCACATTTTCTTAAAACAGAACAGATGTTTTTGGCAATTGCAAACGCACGTATCAGAAAATACAGGAATTTTTGCCTAGTATAATACTGATACCAATTTTATCTATGTTTTGAAAATAATATATTTTTGCATAACACACAACCTTCTTCCTGTTCCCTTTTTAATACTGTGTAAAATATTAATTTTTCTTGAAATTCCAATCTCGACACGAGCACAAATTTATGCGTTGTTTTACCAATAATGACACTGAATACATATTAATGATCACTCCGCTCACGTTTCTGCACATCTGAATATTTCATAGATGCAGAACTATCTAGACTCAATACATAAGATAGTAAAGCTATGACCCAAACATTTTCAACACACCTTTTTCGACGTATTGTTTTTATTTCTGGGGTAATAGCTAAAAGAATTGTTGTAACAGACAAATATAATTTCTTGTCTTTTTTAATGTTTCGCAACTCATAAAATTTTAAAATAAGATTTTTGACATTTCCGTCATTTGTTGTCTTGGTAGTGGAAACAGATAGGTAGATAAACACTTTTCGAAACTAACAATTACTTCAAAATTTTAGTTGTAGATTAATTAGGCCCGGTTGTATAAAGCCTTTGTCAACTTTAACAAGTTGTTAAACCAATGTTAAATTCGTTTGCTAATGTTAAGTGTTGTATAAAGCAGTTGACAATCAGTTAACAGCGTGTTAACTAACAATATGTCAAACCTGTGTTAACTCAGGATTTGGGTTGTATAAAGCTATCGTCAAAGTTAACATCATGTCAAACCTTAGTTAACTTTCTGTCAGCTAATTAGTCATCCGTCATCAATTAAGTTGCGATTTTGTGTTTGCTTGAAGTTTTAAGGACAAGGTTTCTGATAGGTTTTGAGGTAAAATAAACGTAATTCAGTAGTAATATGTTGTATTTAACATAATTGTTCATGCAAATCAATAGAAGATGTCAGCATCTACTTTGTCTTCATTGAGTGACGAAAGCGATGAAGAAGGGAGACTGCAAGCAGCAAGAATTCGCCGTCCAAGACGCTTTTTCGTTCGTAAGGATCCTTTTGAACTATATGATGATATGAATTTCAAGGAAAGGTATAGGATCAACAAAAACACATTCAACGAGTTGCTCAATCTGATTGGTCATCACCTGGAACCTGCAACAAAAAGAAATCACTCTATTTCTGCAAAATTGCAACTCCTTGTTACTTTACGATTTCTGGCAAGTGCATCATTTCAACAAGTGCTCGGGGACAATATTGGCATTCATAGATCTTCAACCAGTAGAATCATTACCAGAGTATGTAATGTTATAGCAGCTTTAAAACCTCGTTACATTAAGATGCCAGTAACTGGCCAAGAAAGACGTTCAGTTAAGTCTGGATTTCACAACATTCGTGGGTTTCCGAAAGTAATAGGTGCTCTCGATTGCACTCACGTCAAAATACTCTCTCCAGGAGGTGAGCAAGCCGAACGATTTCGGAACCGCAAAGGGTACTTCTCAATCAATGTTCAGGGAGTTTGTGATTCAGAATTAAAAATCATAAACATTATTGCTCGTTGGCCTGGTTCCGTTCACGACAGCACCATTTTCAATGACTCACCCCTGTGTGCTGATTTAGCTTCTGGCGTATACGGAACAGACTTTGTATTAGGTGATAATGGTTACCCATGTCGCAGTTATTTACTGACACCACTGCTGAATCCAAGAAACCGTATGGAGAGAGCATACAATGCGGCTCACAAGGCCAGTAGAAATTGTATTGAGAGGTGTTTTGGAGTGCTGAAACGACGTTTTCCTTGTTTGTCTAGAGGATTAAATATGAAACTTCAATCAACTCTCCACATTATTGTCGCTTGTGCAGTGCTACATAACATATGCATTCTAGAAAAGGACGCATTTTTTGAAGGTGAAGATCAAGATGTTGATGAAGATCCAGAATTGCACATTTTTAATAACGAAAACACAGCAGTTCGAGTGGCCCTAATTAATTCAGTGTTTGCAGACCTTTAAATTATTGTTTAATGTATGTTAAAATTGTGTTAAAGAAAAGCCGATATGAATGAAAAATTATTTTTATTTTGCATTTAAATTTTCCAACTCTTTACGTTTAATTTTTAAATCTAAAACATGCAGCTGCCGTTTGGATTTTAGTTCGAAGCAAGCTATTTGATATTTTTTTTTGAAGTATAATTCCTTGTAATTGACTTTTTTGTTTCTCGTTGTTCTAATCCTGGTACGGCGCGATGTTGTGGCTCTTATCTCAGGCACAGGCTGAGTAACTGGTACATCTCCAGGATCCAAATCAGGAGTCGGTGCCCGAAGTTGAGTACCAGAACACCCAGGAATATCTGTAGGTACTGCAATAATAAATGCGTTGATCTTAAAGGTATTACACACTTTGGAGAGTAAAATATGCTGTTACCATCATGAAAATAGTTCGCAGCATCATCGAAAAAATTCGGTAAAGGTTGCACTTGGTCTTCTATTATAGCTAAAATTTGAGCGCCTGTTTCATCCAACTGCGGCTTATAATTGCCTCCACCGGTTCTATTAAGTTCGCGCCTGTCCTCCTCATCAACCACCTTTGCCTTTAAATATTGTTCTTTCTGTTAACAATAAGTAAATTCGTAGTATGGTCTTTTGATAATAATTTAGTTTTTACATGTTCCTCCGCGACATCTTTTCGTGTTTTCCGTTTCAAATTAGCGTAGAGCAATTTCAAATGTTTTACGGTCCTGCTCACTTCAGTCTCTGCATTAAACTCATGTGTTATCTTCTCCCACGCTCTGTTTTTTTTCTCATTAATAACACATGACGTGCCTTTATTTTCAATAGTAGCTTTATACCTTAATCAGGGAAAGAGGAGTGGATATAGCAGACATGTAAAACCGAACGAGGTTATACTTACCTTTCAACTATATCTAAAAATGTAATTTTTTCCCTAGCAGAAAAATTGGGGGTTCTTTTTGTTAAATCTTGCATTTTATCTTCTCAAAACGGCAATACCACACAATGCAAGTTACAAATTGAAGCGACGTTTTGGAGGGAAACGTCAACGCGGGAACTCGTACCAACGTAAATTGGTAAACGATAAAATTTCTAGTATTCGAACGTGATCCTATGTTAACTCGTTGTCAAAGGTTTGTCAGTTAACTAGCGTCCGCAAATTGTTTATACAACGGTGTCACAAATAATCCAATGTTAACAAGCTGTTAAAGTTGACAGAGTGTTAGCTGACATCCAACTTGACAGGCTTTTATACAACCGGGCCTTTAAGAGAATTATCCTCAGCAAGGAAGATAGAGTTCTATTAGATTTGCTTACTTATTTTTTAAACGCGAAGGTATATTCTTTTTTATTTTGAATCTGTGCAATTAACATTTTTTTACAGCCATTACTACATCAGTGTTTATTTGATTCATTTGTGTGCCTAAAATATGTGCTTATTTAGTCGTGACAAAAGTATAGAAGCGTGAAAAAAGTGCCGCAGCATTTCATTATTAACCCCTCAATTCAAAGGAAAGGTGCTACAACTTCGACTCCTGAGAGGTGTATCTGTAGCACCGTAGCTCCAAGAGATGAACTGATTTCAATGTTTTTTTTTTTTGAAAGCTGGTTTGATCGGAGTGGTTCTTAGTTATGTTTTACGAGACATTTCAAAATAATCAGTGTATGTAGCTGTTGCACCGTAGCTCCCAAACGAAAGAACCGATTTCGGTCGAAAGCTGGTTTAATCCACAAGGTTCTGACAAAGGTGGTTGGATGAGCGACTTGATTCGCTTGTCTTGGAGGGTAAAAGAAAGAAAAGCAGTAACTGCATATATAAACATCAAGTTGGCTTCCCATACTTACACGTTTCTACAATATCAAGTCAGTCTGTCATGTTTCGATAAAGAATTAAGGGGAGTCTCTAAGTTTGACGCATGGAATTTTAAACACAATTGCAGACTGTAATATCTGTGCATTATTAACAGACATTTTGTTATGAAATTTTATATATAACTTGAACACAACGTGCGCTATATGACGTAAGATTTTTTTTAAACGGTTTATCATACTCTTCTTGCTTGGTGAAATTTTTCATAAACGCAGATTTCGCCACTGTTTTCAGCTTAGAGAACTGTAGTCCTTACCCAAGAAACATAGACTTTTTTATCGGAAATGAGACACAGTAAAAGCAATCATTCCGTCAAAAACATCCGTTGAAGACGCACTACGATCTGGAGTGAAAAAAAAGCATCATACATTTTTAATCAAAATGTATCTGTTTATCAACCCCAAAAACTTGGTGATGTCATCTCAAAATTTTGCGGAATAAATCCTATCTAAAGTGTGCAAAATATGTTCAGTCTATACCTGTGATTTATCATTGCATTAATATTTTTTAGATGTGCTTCAAAGAAATTAATGAATCAGTCAATTTATTTTATTGAATACTTAAATCCAGAATTGCAAAACTGAATACTTTGAAGACGTTTTAAGGTTATTGTAAGGATGGTAAAGCGTTAATCAAAATATATCTGTTTATTATCTCAAAAAACTCATGATGTTATTTCAAAATTTTGCCGAATAAATTCTACCAAGATGTGCAAAATATGATGAGTTTTTTTTACTTGTGGTTTATCATTCCATTAATATTTTTTAGATTTGTTTAAACAGGTAGCTTAAAAAAATTAATGAATGGGTCAAATTATTTCATTTATTAAATCAGGAACGGCTCATTCCATTTTCCCAGAAAATTTTGGAAATACAGTACTGTTATTTTTAGTATTACACTGCAGGAAACCAAGTTGATACACGTGTCCTTGCAAAAATGTTGATAATAATAATAATAATAATATCGTTTATTATCCATACAGAACTCTTGTTTCAATCACAGGATAATATTATAATTGTATAACAGCGAAAACAATCCTACATAACAACTCTACTAGTGTATTAAAAATATTATACATCTAATCTACTTAAATTACAAATTAAAGCTAAATCCCCAAATTACAAATTTAACCTAAATCCTCCAATCCGTGCTCTTTTTCCGCAATGCCTCTGTAATTCTATGCATATTATCATAATGTATATCGCACTCATTGCTAGATTGTTGAACAGGCTACACAATATAATAATATAGGTATATATATATTGATGATTTTTTTAATAAGCATTTGTAATTGGAATGTGTCTTTTAAACGAGTATCACGCCTTGGAATCCTACATTTAATGATGTCATCACAAATTTTTAATTGTCCAATTTCAGATTGCATCACCCCTTTTTCTCGAAAATGTAAGAACACGCACGTCTTTATGTAATATTGATAGAATAAGAATATTCTGAACATTCGACTGTGGTTTAATTAATAATTTTTTCCAATTTCCACTAATAAAATGCTCATTTTGTATGTTAAATCTCGCTACTAAAACAGTAGTTTAATCGAAAGGATGAATAAAATGTTTATAACAACACTTTATTCGCACTGTCATTGACAACACGAATAAAGTAAAAAAACTAAAAGTTTGCACTACCACTGAAATTTTCGTTGCTATAGATGTGTAAACATTAATCAACTAAAATTTGCAACGCTTGATGGTCCACCTCCTGTAAAACAATCCTAATGAAAGCCCAGGAACATCCTTTGAATTTGACCGTGACGAAAGTACAGGCAACTTAGGCAATTTACCTTCTTTAAATGTTCATCATATTAATAATAGTACAATTAATATTTATGTAAATGAATTACCTTTAGTCCTCTGTTATGAGAAGAAAAACTCATTCAAATCAAATTAATTTCTTCGTGATATTCATTGGATGTATAACCATAAATAAACCCTTGAGCTTCAGACTGCTATTACCTACCGCTGAAGTAGGTTAAGTGCTCTAAATATTACTTTACAGACATTACCACAAAACGAAAATCGTAAATCAAATTTTGTAATTGTTTTAAAGAGCTGGAATTATCCGATTATACTTCAATGGTGAGGGATTTCTGTCGAAATAGCTTTGGACCAATTTTTTAAATATGCTATTGGCTCTATGTAGAATACTTATTGCCTTTAATAAAATTAATATCTGGTTGACCGAGCTTCATTCGGCTCGTTTGGTAGTATTAGATCAGATTAGGACAGATAAATATGCGTATAGTATGCATTTTGAAGTAAACGCGCTACTTAAAAATACACATTAAAAAAGAAATTCCATAAGGAGTCTTTGTTTTAAATACTGATGAGTGACATGTAGAGATTAAAGAATAGAAAACTGGAATTATTGTTTGACATTTATTAAAATCTCATTTATTACCCAAGTTCTCTCTGTGTCGTTCTTTTCTTTTTCCTAGTTCTCTCTCTCGACTCTAGAAAAAGATCACAACCACATTCTTACTGCCAGAAGAGTTTCGCCTCTGGTGTGGTTAACATACTGAGTTACCGTGCTCTTTTGCGTTATTCCTAATTTCTCAATCTCAACTCTGCTCCCGAAGATGCCATTTACGAAAGTGTGCGAAACGTTGAGCCCAAAAACTCAAATAATACGGTCCCATCCCGGAAAACGATCACATTTTGACTTCGACCATGGAACCTCTGAAATGAATGCTTGACAATAACCTCAATTCAACGCTCTTTCGTGTGGCTTTTATCCGCTCACTGTTTAGTTTTCCGTAAATTTTCTCACCTCAGAAGGTGAATTTTAACGTCCTCTATATAGTGGAGTATGTTTCGGTACGTACAATTGAAGATAAAAAGGTACGTCGAACGTACTGTCAGACTGTCACCCAAACTTCTCTTATAAAACAGTCTCGTGTTCGTGTAGTGTCATCTGATGTTGCCTAGCAACAAATATAATTCACTGCCTGAAAATTGCTGAAAATATATGAAGCTGTAATTTTCAGAAGTTAAAACTACGATCAATCGATTTCTTGACCCAAAAAACCCCCAACCTGTAAATTTCATCGAAATCGTTAGAGCCGTTTTCGAGAAACCCATTATATATATAGATATATATTTATATATGTCTCAGAAATAAGTACATTAATTTTAACCAGTAACAGAACTCGTGAAACGGAACAACTTTTTTATCTAGCATTTTTTCGAAAACTCAAGTCGAATTTCGAATTTTCCCACCCATATATTCACGAGCCGTCTATGTTCACCTCAAATAGTAACTTAAATAATAACAACACTACAACAATGAAGAAGGTACCCTAGCAACCGTTTTGACACTGACAATCATTTTTATGTCAATGTTTTTATTAAACGTTGTCTCTTTAAAGTTTGTTTGGCACAGATTTCTAATTTATAGACGAAATGTGTTGAAATGGCTTTGTTTTCAAATCTGGAATGCACCGATATCGTTTTAACGTACGGTGAAACTCGGGGAAACGGCACTCGCGCCCAACGAATTTTTTCAGAAAACCTCCCAAATCATTGTCTGCCAAATGTGCGCAGTTTTAAGAACGTTGCAGCATTTTCGAAAGTACGGATCTTTTAAACCTGCACCTCAGGATCGGGGTAAGTTACGTAGTAATAGAATTGCTAATATTGAAGAGGCTGTTTTGAAGAGTGTCGAAGCTCGACCGGGCACTAGCACGTTTCACGTATCACTGTCTAGTGTGATGTATCGGAGAGTAGTATTTGGAGGATACTCAGAGAACAAATGTACCCCCTTCAGGACCAGAAAGTTCAGTTATTGAAACTAACAGACTTACCACGTAGGCAAAACTTTTGTGAGTGGGTTAATAGAAAAATAAACGAACAAGCAAATTTTGTATCTCTTATTCCATCAACTGATGAGGTCGGCTACGCGAGGGAAGGTGTTCAACACCCACATTTGGGCCGATGAAATTCCGTACGCCATTAGGGAGCAGGATTTTCAATTTCTCTCTAAATGTTTGTCACATTGACAAGATTGGGAAAATACGTATCCTAGTAACTGTTTTTGACCATAAATTATAATTATTAATTATAATAATTTTATTAGTGTCCATGGGTGACTTAGGATCCATGGGCGGGTAGCCTTAATTGGGATATAACTTTAACAATTTTTAACTTGATAATTAAAAAGTTCTTGACAAAACTCTACTAAAAAAAGTTGTTGAGTCCAATGAGCTCTATAACTGATTAAA